CAATCAGTCCCTGGAAGTGCTTAGAGAGGATAATTTCGGTCAGTAAGTACAATCAGTCCCTGGAAGTGCTTAGAGAGGATAATTTCGGTCACTAAGTACAATCAGTCCCTGGAAGTGCTTAGAGAGGATAATTTCAGTCACTAAGTACAATCAGTCTCTGGAAGTGCTTAGAGAGGATAATTTCGGTCACTAAGTACAATCAGTTTATGGAAGTGCTTAGAGAGGATAATTTTGGTCACTAAGTACAATCAGTCCCTGGAAGTGCTTAGAGAGGATAATTTGTGTCACTAAGTACAATCAGTCCCTGGAAGTGCTTAGAGAGGATACTTTGTGTCACTAAGTACAATCAGTCCCTGGAAGTGCTTAGAGAGGATAATTTGTGTCACTAAGTACAATCACTACCTGGAAGTGCTTAGAGAGGATAATTTTGGTCACTAAGTACAATCAGTCCCTGGAAGTGCTTAGAGAGGATAATTTGTAAAACCTGGGCCTGTGGGATTGCACAAAACTGGATTGAAGATATCATTAGATGTTTGTTTTTGGGTTGATTTAATTTCATATTGAATAGACCATGGAATAGTGCTGAAAAAAATAGTTCTAGGCTAGGCTGTCAGCTCCCTAGTTTTGACTGGTCAATCACTCGTGCAGCATCATCATAAAATTAACCTTCCTATTGTAAAGATACCAAGCAGGTCAATATGGCCAACACGATTTACTATATCCTACTCTTCACTGTTTACGTTATCCGTGATAAGTAAAAAAATTCAACATTGTAATTAATTTTTATAACTGCCAGGACTAAACTGTACTCATGTTAGTAAACGAGTATCATCTATTGTAAAGATGGAAGGTACTCAGTGTTAGCACAATAATAAACATTACTGGTTTCTTTAACAACTCTTTTAATCATTAGACTACAACACCTTATGTAGGAAACTTTAATGCCCAGCCAGTAAGAGCTACAGATGTACGTAACCAACTCTTTGATATGATTATATAGTAACACAAGAACTCAAAACGTACATACCAGCAGCGATCCCTGCCAGTATAGGAGACACAAGAACCGAGGTTATTACTCCGGTTGTGACAGCAAGGTTTCTTTTGTGTCTGCCACTGTTTTTGTTGACGTGATAACGATGGAGCTAAATAACAGCCAAAAAATAGATGCATACTCTTGACTACACAGATACAAATACTGGAGTCAAACATTTGGCATGGTTTTGTTTAAAAGTGTTTAAAATCTTGTTGGAAATGACGGAATAATGAGAAAATCAGTTTAAAATAATAAAATACGGTTGTAGTGACACACTAATATAAATAAATCAAATACTATAACATATACCAAGTGTAAGTAGGCAATCAATCAGCACCATATAACAATAACAAAATTAATATTCACAATGAGACGACAAAATTAATTTTTTTTTTCATTAACCAGTCCTTGTCATCATCATTAACCCATGGCAGAAAATGTCGGTGCCCGTAGCTCCCAAATATGTCGGGGTTATTCCATCTATCAGACAAGATCCAAATGCAGATGGCAAAGTAGCCAGCAACTATAGAGAATCGGTTAGGAGTTGAATGCTTGAACCCACAACGTCTCAACTCCTACTGTCTGTAGCCAGTTGTGGGAAGGCAGTTACCCTTAAAGTGAATATAAATCACCTTAAATATTAAGGGTGACTACCTTCCCACATCTGGCAGCAGACAGTGAAAGGCAGTAGGAGTTGAGATGTTGTGGGTTCATGCATTCAACTCCTAACCCTTAACTGATTCTCCATAGCTACTGACTAGTTCGACATCTGTGTTTGGATTTTGTCTGACAGATGGAGTATGACCACAGACATTTTCCACTACGAGTTATTGATAATAATGTACTAACGCATTATATTAATACAATTTAAATTAAATGAGAATATTGTTTTTAAAAATTCAGAAAACTTAAAACTTGAACAGCAGATACAAAAAAACCCACTAAAATATGTCATATTTCACTTTGAAGGTAAACATTTCTTGAACTACAGTACTTAACATCTAAATATACGTTTGATGTACAAGCTGTTTGAGAAGTTGTGTCTGAAATCATTTACGAGCTTACTTAAGCTAGTCTGGTGACTGAATAGTTGCCATACAATCGTAATCTGTATATTAAATTTTACTAAAGTCTGTTCTAAAAGGGATCTCACCTTCCTTCCCACCCACACGGGGATACCAATGATGATGGCAGGAATGGCTATGCCAGCAATCAAGGCGATACCCACAGGTGCACCAACTAACATACCCAGTTGCCAGAAAATCTTCTTCTTACGACTCCAAGGCTTCTTCCCCCAGAACGTACAGCCTGATGGACTACAGAGTGGAAATAAATGTGAAGTCTGATGGACTACAGAGTGGAAATAAATGTGAAGTCTGATGGACTACAGAGTGGAAATAAATGTGAAGCCTAATGGACTACAGAGTGG